TCCCTGTTCTTATGTCGACCCACAAGCCTTTCATTATGGTTTTTTTTCTCCCTTGTCCAACTGAGGAAAGAGAATGACAGAGTAGTTTAGTGGGCACCTGGAATCCAGCCAGGGTCAACCCACCACATCATGTCTCTCCCCCAGAACTGCAAATAATTTGTCATTTTGCTGCTCTGAACATAATCCCAATTCATTTCAGTTGACAATTCTTCCAAGAATCATGCCTTCATCAGTGTCCTGGGTTTCGGCTGGGATAGAGTTAATTTTCACAAGAAGCTGGGAGGGGACACAGCCAGGACACCTGACCCAAACTAGCCAAAGGGATATTCCATACCATATGACGTCATGCTCTGTATATAAGGGGGGACCTGACCAAGGAGGATGGGTCACTGCTCTGGGACAGGCTGGGCATCATGTTCTGGGCAGTGAGCAAATTGCATTATGCATCACCTGCTTTGTATATTCCTTTGTTAGTACTGTTGTGGTTTTCCTCTCCCTTTGCTATCCTAGTAAACTGTCATTATCCCAACCCACAAGTTTTACCTTTTTTCTTCCCATTCTACTCCCCATCACACCACAGGTGGTGGGTAGGGGAGGAGTGACCAAGCAGCTGTGTGCTGGTTGGCTGCTGGCTGGTGCTAAACCACAGCAACTGGGTAGTTAAAATCTTCATTAATACCCTCAACTTTTTTTTTTTTTAATTCAGGATGTGCAGCTGGACAGGGTTTTGTGTGGGACGCCCCTTTGACTACCTGACTCTGGCTGTCCCCAGACACCACATGGAAGACCTGGTACTGACTTGGACCTTTAACTACGGCATTCATTCAGTGATACTTTCCCAGATCACTGCTTGTTGCTCCGTTTTTGCCTCTATGGATACATTTCATCACTTAATCCTGTGACTTCTCTCAGTTACATACTACCAAACTTTCCTTCTGAGTTCCTTATTCTAGTTTTCTGAAAACAATTTCTTTACCTCTCCACAATTTAGGCTGAGGCTCTTTGCAAATCCGTCTGGGAGCTCAGTTTGCCTCATGCCATTTACATTCTAGATCCAGGCAAGGAAGAAAACTTCATATACTCTCCCTCCTGCAGCTCACTTGCATTTGTTGCCATGACGCATACACAAAGATATCTACCTACAAGCACCTTCAAAACCTGTCTGATGCACCTACTGGCTGCCAAATTGTGTTCTTTTTACCCCTGTTTACCCCTACCTCTTAGTAAAAGAAAACATTCACACTCAAATTTCAACTAGATTTGACAAGATGTCATACTGCTGCTACAACAATTAAATTTCTGCACTCAAAAGCACAGATCATACTTGCTTCTATTTACAGAATTTGCAGGTGGACAAATGCATGATGCAACAGTTGTTCTATGTCAATTTACACCACCTAGAGAAACTGTTTGTGGATATTTAAAAAAAACATAATAGACCATAAGGATAAGCTCTTAATCATCATCAAATGAACCAATTTGTATTGCATGAATGATCAACACTGAAGATAACTTGTTTAAAATTAAATAAACCGAGCCATTTACTTACCATTGGCAGCCTGGATTGAAGCATCTGGAGATCATCATAACCATAAATCTGCTTGAAGACAGATAAAAATACAACATCATTATAACACTTCTCTCTGACGCTGACCAATTTGGGTCTTTAAAGAGAGTCTGACCCAGGCCCAGTCTATTTTAAAGGTGTACAGCTCTACGTCATATTGTGCTACAATGGCGCACTGTATCATTTTAAGGCTAGTAGACCTAAGCTTAAAATGGCTTGTCACTCTGATGTTATATCTTGGTGACAGCAGTCCTCTGAGGAGAGTTTGACTTCCCATCTTCAACACTGTTTTCACAAATGTATCATTCATCAACTTGTGAAAAATCTACAGGGTGTTCAGATTTGGGAGTAACAGCAACAGCTGCCTTTGCTGCAATCATTACTTCTGAGAATACCAGGATTTAAGATTTAGTGACTAGACCACAAAGGAACCTACGGTATCCCCTCGCATTCAGTGTGATACAGAAAGATGATTAAAGTTTCTCATTCAAAAAACAGATAACCAAAAATACGTTGATCCTGGTCAGATATCAAAAAGCTACATGCAATCTTTCAAAGCATGACGGACAGGACACATGGCACATTTCAACCATTACTATAGTAAATCTATTCCAGTAACGCAAACCTGAATGAGCCTAATTTTACTTGAAGGGCCTAAAACCTGGTATCACTGAAAATCACAGCATCATGCATGTTTAGCTTCAATGGCAGCCAGATCAGGTCTGTACCAACAGTTCTGCAGTTTACTATCAACAATAAACCCCCACTGAATATATTTCACATATTCTTCAGCATTTGGAACAATGATACCAGGTTCAACATGTGGCAACAGAAATGCCTTGGCACAGACAGCAGTAGGTCCAGAGGGTCCACTTGCACCAACGGTTTAGCGATCAAGGACAGGAATAATTAAACTGCTTACTGGGTAGGCAGGTAGAAGTCCTCCAGGTCCCACAATATACTGGTTATGCAACAAAGGCGGCACACCTTGGGGCAGGTTTGGGGGAGCTTTGCCTGTAGAATCAAAATACAGACACTTTAACAAGCTTTTAGAAAAGAAAAGGCTTCAGCATTGAGACAAGATAGCTCACAAACCCTAGCAAGAATTTTGTACTGGTTGATGAAAATGCTCAAAATAGCCTGAAGAGTTTAACCATGCCTCAAGAAAGGGAAAGCACAGGCTACTTAAGACTGAAAATTGTCCCATCAGAGCACAATATGATTATGTCATTTACTCTGTCCAAGATAGTTACAAGAATTACAGAAACTTCTCTTTTCCTCAGTCCTCTCCTGAAGGCAAAGTTTAGGCATTGTTCTCAATCTAAGAGGAAATTCTCTCCTTTCATTTTCTGCTCTGTCAAACACATTCTCCCTTATCGCCAGCAACAGACTGGAAAGCACTAAGTGTTGCCAGTGTACTTTTTGGGGGTGACTTATTGGAGCTGAGAATACCAAAGAGAAAACTGAAACAGCTTCAGTTGCCTCCATGAAGCAATTCTAGGAAGCAGAAGAGTAAAAAAAATGCACTTTGGCCAGCCATCAGACACTTCATTTACAAGGTATGGTAATGAGAAGTAATAAATCCTTCTCTAAGTTTGATCTTAATAGTTAAATCATTCACTTCCCTCCACAGGATTTCCTTTCAGCAGTTCAGGTTAATTAGAGAAGCAAGAGAGAATTTAGCATTACTTCCACTTCAGTGGAAGAAGCCTTCCCACCTTCTCTCTCTGTGGCCCCTTTTTCTGAAGCGCTATTTGCTGTAGAATGACCCAGACATCAGACACTTTATTTCCTTTCTGTAGATGTGGGAGTAGGGATGTGGCATATGATAATGAGGACACTGCAGTATATTTTGATACTGCCACATGAATTCAAGTCACAGAGAAGACTGGAATTAAAACTAATGTGAACTCACAGTCAAGAGCTGGGATACAAACTGGGTGATCTCCTAGCTCAAAACTTCCAAAGTCAGAACTGCTCTGGTGCCTATTTATAAAGCTCTCTGAGGATGGAATGTGCTTTATATAAATGCCACGTAATATCCTAACAAATATTTCAAATACACAAATCCAGGCAATTTTATTTTATATGCCAGCAAATAAAGCATGCTGAAAATAATAGTCAAGAGCATGGATTTCTTAGCGTAGTTATGGCTGGTGAGATGCTCAACTGACAGCCCTGCTGACTGAAGTCCCCTGCCTATCCATAAGATCGGTTAATATTGCGAACCTGAAGACACTAAGGGAGCTGCCCGTGTGGTAGCAGCTGGTATAGACACACTGGTAACGCTCAGGCCAAGACTGTTTGTAGTGTTCATACTGCTTGCCATGCTGACAACCGAAGAGGTGGTGCTAGAGGCTGAGGTTGAAGCAGTTGAAAAGGCTGTTGAAGGCTGGAGCGAAGTTGTGTTCTCAACACTAGTGTGCTAGAAAGGAGACAAAAAGAATGAGAATAACAGAGCAAATAAACCACAGTGGAAAATGGTGGTGGGGGGAGGAAAAACCCAACAAAACCAATGATTTTTTAAGTAACAGCAGTGCATGCAAAAGAAAACGATATGCATTAACTACATACCAAGCAAGCAATTAGATTGCATGCTTGTGGTTTTTAAATATTCAAAGAGAATTATTACATGAGAGTTAAATTCAAACTGCTACATCATCACAAAATTATACCACAATGCAAATGTCACTCTATTGCATTATTTCTTGCCCTTTCCTTATATGCTCCTTTAAGCTGGTACTTGTGATGTTAAATAAACTCCTGTGTTCTACCAAAAGACAGTGTTTGTTTTCAAAATACAGGACACTGTTAACATCATTTCCTCAATGCACTTCTGGAATTGAAGAGATTAAGTGGCAAACTGAAGTGCAGATCAGATGTATTAGCAGACCACGTGAGGATAAAGGAGTTCCTGGTTTGAATCTAGCACAACAGTGCCTTAGCTGTAAGCTGATCGCACTTGCAAAACAGTGTCATGCACACACAGAAGACAAAACAACTCTGACAACAAAAAAGGACCTTTGTGTAAGTGTGAATATTTAAGTTACATATTCAGTAGGGATGGAGCATTACAAACCAAAATACAGGATAAAGAAAAGCAGTAATCTATCTGCACACCCCAACTGGGATTGTACGAAAGTACCCCATCACAGAACAAGGGAGTGTCTCTCCGACTTTGGTTTGTGCAACCTCATCCAGAGCACTGTGTTCAATACCATTTCCCTTATCTCAAATGCGTTAAATACACAGGTGACAACAATGCCACATGGTAAACTCTAAAATCATCTGGCCTTTGTAATGACATGTATCATTCTATCATCCGCTTTTTGCCAGCTAACCTCTCCAGTGGAGACTGCTAACAGTCAACAGCCACTGTTAGCAACCACTTCTAAAGATTTTTGGTTTGTTTTTAATATATTTGTTACAAGAAATTATTTCTTTATTCCATTCTCCCTTGCTGGCATGAGAATTTCCTCTGTAGTTGTGTAACTGGAAAGTCTCTGTAATAGCTATACCTGATCTAGTATAATTCACAAATGGTAAAAAAAAGTACTAGAGGGCTGGTAGTCCTTCTTCCCTGAGATAAGGCTCTTGTTTCAGTTCTTAGGGTACTGAGACACAATGAACTTTAAAAGGATCTTAATCATCAGATAAACTGACTATATGCCAAACATCTGTTGAAATGCAAATAGGACTTACTGCATGTGATGTGCTTGAAGACAACACTGAGGCAGGGGAGAGGCTACTCTGATGACTGGAAAGGGAGCTAGAAACAAATTGCGAAGAATTAGTAAAATTAATTTTTCCTGGAACTATTTTAATATATATATGTACGTGTATATATATACACGCACAAACACAGTGTAGGTACTAGGACATTAAAGAATAAAAATTGTAGCTGTGTGTATACACGTACATAATAGGATATCAGTTAAAATAAAAATTGTTTGTAAGGGTGTGTGTATGCGTATATATACACACACCTCCAGCCATGCATATATATGTGAGTATATATACACACACCCCTACAGGCATTTTAACTAATATCCTACTATCTTTTAATGAAGAAAAAAAAAAGTACAAGACAACTATTACTAACAAGAAACATCTAAACCACCATTTGTCTGTATTTATCAATGTACTATATTTTTAGAAAAACAACAGTTGCCTCAGGAACTATGTAGCAATGACTCCAAGACACATATAGTCCAAAACCAGAAGAAGGTTCCCACAACATGCAGCTTGTTTCTCTTTCTTTTCCTGAGCAACTGGTGCTGCCTGCCATGAGGCACAGATATTAATTTGGTGAGGCAGTGCTTTGGTTTGACTCACTGTGGTATTTCTGACATTTTAACCTGCATAACATTAGTTCAACCAATTAGAACTGCGGGCATAAGTCTGCCAAAAGCCACAACACACTCTCAAAAGACAGGGCTCAAAAAAACCAGCAAATGAAGAGCATCTGTGAAAGTCCAAAAATTACCCATACGACTACAGAATCTGGCAATTTAATCAAGGCCAGTTTGTACCACTGCACCCCAAAAAAGCCATTTCTTCTTTGAAAAGGTAAGTCAGAACTATCACCTCTGTTTTACACATACCCTGTAAAATATGGAAATAAAGAATCTCTTGCTGAAAAACATCTGCAGATAACTTCATTTTAGGAAGCAATTCTGCTTTAGCACCACCTTTTTTCCCTAGCTAACCAGGCCTGTGACTTTTGGCAATAACTGTAGTACCAACATTAACCTGTAATCCAAAGATCTTTAAATGTCTCCCTGAAAGGTGACAAATTGGTTCTTAAACATTTACACTGACAAAAGTTATACCTTACGTTCAAGGTCAAGAACATAACTTACAGTACAGTGTAGAATAAAGAGAATGAACACTGAACAAAGGTAAACAAAGCCAGAAAAAAAATGTATGGTTTGGTGCTCAAAAAGCCCCTCCATGTGTGAAATCAGAAGCAAGAGAGATCCTAACCATAACAAGTATTTCAGTAATCTCTATGGAAATAGCCACAAGAAAATACAGCAGTTTTCATAACAAAGCTACAGCCTAAATTATATGCCCTAATTTAAGGGCAAAGACTTCTGGCAGCTCTTCAAGGTGTGGGAGCACAATAAATCTTTGCAGTTTCATAGCTGAATTTTACCTTGATTACTTAAAAGGGTTCCCCATCTGCAGGAATTACAATGACACCACTTCAGGCAGCAAGGAAAGAAATAGTTCAGTCCAACATACGGTTTTATACCACTCCCTTGCTCACTCTCCCCAACTCTTCTAATAAGCTTTAATTCACCATCTGACCTATGGTAGCAATGCAGACAAGAGCCACCAGCACAACCAAGTCAGACATGCTTGGAATTCAGGAATCATCTTTTCATGGTGCTTGGTATCTGCCCAACAGCATCAATCCTCCAACTAGAATTTCTATCAATATACACAGCTTTTCAACAAACAAATGTTGGGAAATGATGTTTCTAATGTGAATGGAGTAATTCTTGTTATTTGACACACTTAGCATTTTATTCAACAGAACATGCTAGTGTATTAAAAGAGAATCAACCATGTCCTAGCTGTCAAACAGCAAAAATCCTGATATCCCATCAAGTAAGTTTCTTACATTAACAAATATAGTGCAAAGGTGAGTATTAAAAATATAAATCAACCAGTATAGCCTCAGGATGTCACCTGCCTGAGGATGAAGCTCAAGTAACAAGCACTGAGAAAATCAGACCTAGTGTAAATTCGCTAAGCTGTGCTGAATGCACTTCCAGGAACACCACTCTGATATTTCATAGTGTCTTAAGAAAGTGTCTTAGAAAAAGGAAAAAACACACGCTTTCCTTGTGGAATTATTTCTGGGCTTTTAATTTTAAGAAATACAAATATAGAGGAAACAACAATATTTCAAAATTAGCCAGGAAGTAAACTGTTAAGGAATGATTTCAAACATGTGACACTAAACAAACAGCAAGCACTGTGGACAAAATAGGAAATACAAACTGGGGGAATCAATTTAGCTGGCATAATTGAGCCCCTTGAACCAGAAAGTTGTTTATACACCACAAAAACTTGAGGGCAGCAGCCGCTCTATCATTAAGAGGCAGCCCAGAGCTCATACTTTGCAACCAGAAACATCCTGTTCTCTTCTGAGTCTTTCTCCTAATTCTAGTTAATGTCAGAAAACAGGACCCTGGTGTCTGACAGCCCCCATACACAATCACCCTCATGTTTGCCTTGTCCCAACCCCTTTCACTTTATCACAACTCCTACTGTACCTGCTTAATTGTGAAAGTGAGCTGCTGGCCAAATCACTGGACTGAGGCAGGCTGGGCAATGTTGCTGCATGCTGCGATGCTGAAGACAGAAGAGAAGCAGTGGTGGATACCACACTAGGCAGAGCACCAGCAGAAGGTAGTGAGGGAGAAGGCTCTGTCTTAGGTGTTGGAACTGATGAAGTAGCTGCAACAAGTTAAAAAGAGACATTCAAAGACAAATTCCAGCATACATGACATTCCAGCCTGGATTCAGACACACAGTAGTATTCTCCCCTTGGTTTACAAAAACCTGAGCATTAAGAACAAGTAACAGTATTAAACCATGTGACTATTAAGGAAAATTCAAACAGCAACAGAACTGTTATATTTTTCCCTTTAAGCTTTCAGCCTACAAAAGATTTATAATTTTCACTGCTATGCTTGTAGTAACTACAGTCTTCTGCCTTTCACCTCCCACTATCTGCCCTTCACCTCCACTATCTGGATTATTAGCGTTTGCTTACAAGTCAATCCTCATTTTAAAATTCCTTGCATTTGGTTCCACAAAAGTAATCTGTGCTTGTCCAGGCACTGTACAAATCTACTTTTACCTACAGCTCTGCTTCTTCATTCCAACCTACACAGCACCTTTGATGACTGAGACTTAAATTGCTGGAGTAAAACAGTCCATAGAAATTATGAGTTTGGAGTACTCAGTCAAATGTCTAATGCAGTAGAATAAAAGAAGCTACAATAAAAGGCCACAATTGAGCACAGCATTAAGCACTTTTAATGGCTAAAGAGTTGACAAGTATTGACTTACTTTATTTGACCTAGATAACAAAAACCATTCAGGATTAATATACTTTTTAGGCTACACAGAGTAAAACTTGTTTACCACAGATGTGCCTTTCCAAACGATCGCTATACTGTAATAAGACACTAAACAGCTCTATTGCCCAATATAATTCCCAGCTGTTTCTACACTTCTCTTGTCCTGCGAAGATAATATAAAGAATTAGTGGCACTCACTCACAAATAAAACTCAGAAATGGAGTTGAGCCCTGCCTTCTACCGGGCCATGCTTCCACACCACACGAGACCACTACCCAGTGGCTCATCACTAACTTGCAATGCATGTTAAGACAGCCTTAGAATGGTCACCCAACAAAAGTCAGATACACACTTAGAAGTCATGCATCACAATTTATTCACATTATTGGTTTGGTTTCCTCACTAAATGACACAAGTCAGGTTGCTATTGGGTGCTACGCTAACAGAAATCAAGAGGTCTTGGCCTTGGCAATAAGCATGAGGGCAACTGACAACAGAGAAGGAAATTCAAGTGACAAACAGAAACATAGTTATAAAGGCGGTAACTGTATCACTTGATTGATACCTCCTGGCAAGACTCATACACAATTAAGAAAATAACATTTACAACTCCTAATACATTCAGAGCAGGGTTCCCTTCTTGAAGCAAAATTACATGTCCTCAGTACAAGGGACAGAATCACCGCCTTCATTATGACCCCTTATAAGATTGTCTGAACACAATGTGCAAGACAAATAAAACCAGGAGACAAGTAAGATGGTCAGAATTATAACACACCAGTCATGCTTTGAACTAATGGTTTAAGAAGCATGAGCTCTGGATGTTAAAAGACAACAACAGCAAAGATGAGAGATGAACAGCTAAGAATATTATTAGCACATACAGAAAGGAAAAGGAATTTTAAGAGTTTGGATGCAAGAAAAAGATACATGGAAGATGATTCATTCCAGTTCATGTGCTTGGGAAACAGGAAAAAAAACCTAACTCAGAAGTGTACTCAAAAGAGAATTGTCATAGAAAAAGGGACTAATAAAACTGTTATAGAATAATTACAGAAATATTAGGAATTCTCAGGTCTTGGTTTTCCATAGCAAAAAGACAAAATCCTGTGATGAATTTCATAAATTAATATTTCTGTACACAAGAGTAAAAAAATTTTCCACAGAAAATGTTGTCTCTATATACAACAATCTTTTCAGAGGTAACTCTTTGGGCATACGCACTCCTCCTGCTTATTCAAATTGAACTTGGCACTAACAAAATCCTGTTTACAGGTCTGAATACTGAATTTCTTTCTACTCAGAAGTATAAAAAAAGCTGCCTCACTAATGACGTACCTGAAGAGATGTTTAAGAGGAGGATAGACCTAAAACTGAAGTGTCGGAATTACAAGATATGTTAATTCACACTGCTGCCCTTGAAAACTTCCAGAGCAGCATAAAGGTCAGAAGAGCAAATACTACACTTTAATCATTTTAAGTCCAGGAAGAGAGCTACAGGGGTGCTACATGTAAAATACCACATTAGAAACAGGCCAAGAAGAAGATAACAGTAGCACCTGTATCAGAGCCAGTACTGTGTTGTTACTCCACTGCAAGGCAGCACGCTACCCGGCAGAGGGAGCATGTTAGTCACTCTTACTCCCAATGGGCTTGTAACCAGGCACAAGTAGCACTACAGCCAGTGAGAGGTAACAGTCACAGAAAGTGGCTGTTCCACTGAGGCTAAAAGCTACTCGCAGCTTCCTAACTGAGAACTGGAAGAACTGGTAAGAAATGTTATATTAAATTTTAATTTTATATTTTATTTTACATGAAATTATTTTTCGTACAGAAATTAAAAAGGAAAAGCAGCAGCAAAGCAACTTCTCTAAGACTGCTTAGAGTTGTAGATTTAATAGGGCTGCTTTCATACTTCAGTTTTAGTCGAGAAGTAAGCAGTATATCCTAAGCAAGTACAAATAAACTCAAATGGGTCAGCCAAAAATTAGTCAGGGAGAACAACATAAAACCTTAAACCAGATGTCACTGCTACAGTTGTGCACACAGCAAATAATAAGGAAAGTCCTGTACACAACCAAGCTTAACTTACTGTCAAGAGTTGCCTGTGTTCTAACACTGCTGTGCCCATTCTGTAAACAAAGGAGAAATGAATGAATGAATAAATCACCTTAGAGGTATATTACATTTTCAGACAGAATCACACATTGAACATGCTTCATGCAAAACTCTATATTCATTCTAAATTGAAAGACAAAAAAAAGGCAGAAGATTAACTTTTTACTGCCTTTAACAAAACCACATAATAGTTGTCTCAAGTGCCAGGTGTCCTGAATATACAGAATCCCATACACTGCCCATACTACACCCACAAGGAGGAGACCTTCCCATGTACTGTATATAACATAAACTTCAGGTTCACACCAATATAAAAGAATTGCATTAACATATAGGAAATGGTTGTGCTTTTGATCTAATGCAACTCACAATTTTAACTATCCAAGTTACACAGAGACGCCAATTTTTTTCCACTGAAAGATAAGACTTGAGAAGCATCAGTTGTTTTTTGGATAACGCTGGAGTACAGAAGTGGATAGTCTACGCTTGATCCTCACCAGTACATACGAGCTAGTGCAGAAGACAAGTGTGACTGAGCCATTACATAACAAAGGCCAGAAGTAAATAAACTTACAAACTCTTACAAGTTCCTTAAACATTTAATAAATTAAATTCTCTTTAAAAAAAACCCCTACATTCTGTATACAAAGAGAGTAGGTGCTTTTGAATCTCCCAAGAGAGATCCTCTCTGTCCTAGATTAGGCCTCTCCCTATGCTTTTTAAAATAAAACATGAAATTAATTCTTGCTGGTGTTGAAATCCAACAAAAGAGTAATGCTGGAGGGGCCACAAACAGTTTGGGATCCATTTTCTAGGTGCCATATAAATTTAATAAATAAAATACTTTTGGATAAAAACTGTCAAGCTATGGCAAAATACCATGACTAATATTTACATACAGAGATGGTTCCTTTTTTAAAAGCTAAGCTTCAGGGAAGGAAACTCAAGTAGAACGTAAGCGTTACTAAGAAAAAATGGTCAAACAGCAATTTAAGATGTCAAAGCCCATAAAATCAGCGGCTCTTATATGCCAAACACAGTATGGCCAAAAATGGCTACACAATAGGAAAACCAAAAACAAATAGCCAGGTGGGCTTGAAAATCAAAAATACCACTTGGCTTGGTTAAAAGTATTAATATAGCAGGGTAATACAAGTCTAACACAGATGAGAATGTTTCACCTTTTTCAAGGTCTTATTTTGGAAACTCACTCACCGTAACTACAACAGAGGTTGATTCAGATGGAGCTATGGAGCTTTGGTACACTATCCTGCTATGCACAGAAGTCTGGTCATAGGAGGAAGTTGTTGTTACTGGGCTAGTGCTCTGGGATGAGCAGGTCAGACTGGAAGAGGTGATGGCAGAGGTTGTGTAGGTGGACTCCGGTACTGTATTGGATACTGGCAAAGAGGTATTCAAGGGATCACTGGAAAAAGTAAAAGTTATTTATCATCTTGGTAAACGACATCTCAAACACTTTCAAGAAAATATCAGCTCCTATACCATTATCTAAAACTGCCTTAAACTTGCAGTCAAATCTACATTATTTACAGTAGAAAATCTAATTATGAAAACAACCCTACATAAATTTGCTTTGGTCCCCAGTAATCACTGCTTTAAAACCACAGCTGCACCAAGCACCATTTACCTTCCTCCTGTGAGTCCAACCAAAACAAAAGTTTACATGCAAGCACTTTTCAGTCATGTTATTTCCACCTTCTCAAAGGTTAAATTAATGATCATCATCTCCCTTTTTTAAACAATTAGTTCCATGAAGTCTGGTATATGATGAAAAACACACAATCTCTTTTTACAATTGAATTCTATTGTTACAGTAGCAGTCTAAGAGAATGAACTATGCAAAGAGGAAAAAATACTGTAACACATACAGGAGTGTTCTACTTTCTACACAGGTTAAATCACTTATAGAATAGAAATGAATATGAAAGTTCATTTTCACTAGTATTTTTTTAACTAACTTCAGGAAGCTTTTTATTGAAGCCAATTTTTGAATGAAAAAGGAAGAAAAAAAATGGGTTACTGGTACATTGCCATTTATCTTTGCCTATTTTAGCATTTCAGTAACAACTTGTGCATACTGAAAGCCTGGCTTCTTTTCTCATCTCATCGTATAGGAGCATCAGATCTGTAATCTGGTGCCGATCTACTGATGCACATATATGGTACAAGGGTCATCTCTCCTGGATCAAAAGCAGAAAAATTTGGGTTGTGAGGAACAAACCCTCTAAAAATTTGAAGATCAGGACAACTGAATGTGAGAAAGAAATTCTAAAAAGGATAGCTTATTATTAGTTTATTTGTATTCATGTCATCTCTAGCTTTGCATTGACCCATCCAGAGAGAGTTTGATTGTTATTAGAAATTTCTCCTTTAAGATGCCATCCACAGGAAACAGCCTTATAAATCATCCTATTTCACCCTCCCATTACATGGTAACCGCATCTTGATGGTTTTGGCACAAACTTGACCCCCTAAAAAAAAGACATGTAAGAATGCACAAGGGGAACTCACACGTACTTCACAGATTTTGAGTACAAGCTATTGTTGGTCGCCTGGCCGGTATTCTCACTGCCTGAAGTTGATCCAAACTCTGGGAGTGCAGGCTCTGATCCAAACTCCAGAGCTCCAAACTGAACATTTAATCCTGTCACATCCGCCGATCCAGGCATCTCCACTGCTGAGGCAGGAATCTTAAAAAGAGGAATAAAACCTCGTAATTCCTTTGAATGCACTGTCTGCATTAAAGATATCAGTAACCGACACCCTCTTCTCCCTCAACTACAGGCTTCCTCAATAACTGCCTCAGCCTTCGCTGCTAACTAGATTTGCAACAATCCCCCCCAGTTTACATCACAAGTTAACTACGTTATTGTAATCTGAAATTAATTCATTGTTTCTGTGCCCAGATCTGGAGCTGATCAAAGTGTTATCCACATCCATCCTCCTTCAGCCAACATTCATCTCGTGGCCACTAAGTCAATCCAAAAAATCTCTCAGGAACAGTCATTTTCCACACAGAGCAATCACATGTGTGCTTGGAAAAGACAACATCACTGTATTTTGGACCTAAAAACTATCCAGCTTAAAATTTCCTGCTTACATAAACAAGAAATATACCATGGTCTTTGATCTCCTTCTCCCTAGCAACTTACATATAGAATAGAATCACAGAATCATTTAGGTTGTAAAGACCTTTAAGATCATTAAGTCCAAACATTAACCTAACACTACCAGGTCCAACACTAAACCACGTCCCTAAGCACCACATCTACATGTCTCTCAAATATCTCCAGGGATGGTGGCTCAACCACTTCCCTGGGCAGCCTGTTCCAGTGCTTGACAACCCTTTCAGTGAAGAAGTTTTTCCTCATATCCAATCTAAACCTCAACTGGCACAACTTGAGGCCATTTCCCCTTGCCCTGTCGCTTGTTCCTTGGGAGAAGAAACCACCCCCCACCTGGCTACAACCTCCTTTCAGGTAGATGCAGAGAGCGAGAAGGTCTCCCCTCAGCCTCCTCTTCTCCAGGCTAAACAACCCCAGTTCCCTCAGCTGCTCCTCATCAGACTTGTGCTCCAGACCCTTCACCACTTTGTGGCCATTCTCTGGACATGCTCCAGCACCTCAATGTCTGTCTTGTAGTGAGAAGCCCAAAACTGAACACAGCACTCGAGGTGCGGCCTCACCCGTGCAGGGTACAGGGGGACGACCACTGCCCTGGTCCTGCTGGCCACACTACTTCTGATACAAGCTTTTGTATGTTTTTACAAAGAACAAGCGAGGTGCGGCCTCACCCGTGCAGGGTACAGGGGGACGACCACTGCCCTGGTCCTGCTGGCCACACTACTTCTGATACAAGCTTTTGTATGTTTTTACAAAGGACAAGCCACCACTCAATTACCTACCTTGGATGCTGGAGTTATCCTCCGTTTTGGTGGTTTTATCTGTTTCTGCTGAGTCTGATGGGCAGTCACTGCCTGGTTACCCATAGATATAGTGGGGAGCTGTAATATTTTGCTAACAGCTGTAGAGGTGTCTACTGGTGATGGCTCTCGGAGTTTTACCTGGGAGGAGAAGGACTCCAGCCCAGGAGGAGGAACAGAAACTACATGCGTTTGCTGTTGCTGTCGCTGGGTCAGCTGGCTCAGAACTGGGGATGGTTCAGGCTGGGATTTAAAGTCTGGTCAGCATTGGGAAAAAGAGTTATCAAAATTAAACCATTAAACTCTGCTCTTCATGCTCCTACACTTTATGAAAGAATCTGGGTGACTTGACATACTCAATGGCTACGATTTTATAACGTGTGCAAGTCTCTTTCAGACATCACACAAGTTTCACATTGAACACAACCACTGCAATAATAAGGCCAACATTTTATATTCTCTACTTTAAACAAGCAGCTGTGGGCAACCATTATTTAGCTTTCTTCAAAAAGATGAAAATAAACTCATATATACAGTCATATCATATTATTACACATTGGGCCTCAAAAACTGTCATGGACTATTTTAATCAAACACTGCAAGTTTCCATGCAGTTAACTGTGCCAATAAAATGTGATTACTTCCAAGGGGTATGGAGTAGTAATTTAGAGGTATTATGCATTAGGATTTCCTGCCCCTACAAAGAGGAAGATTTTCAACACAAATAGGAAGTCATCTACCATCTCAATCTGGCTGAAAGTCCAGAGGTGTTGGACACAGACTTTTTAAGTCTTCATCATTCATATTCTTCAGACGCTACAAGTCAGGCAGTGGCTTAGATCACTTGTCAACCACCGTAAGAGATCCACAGCATTTGCAAGGTGAAGGTTTTTTAATTCAGTGGGTAAAGTGCATCAGAAAGCAACTTAAAATGCAGTAAACATTTTTTTCAGAATTGCTGTGTGTAAAAGATTATAACTGCTACCAAACTGGCTGCTTATCTATCTGGAAACATATACACATACATACAAGATAGACTCTTCACAGTGAGAGTACTGCTTGGAATTACACTGTAAAAAACAAGTTTGTGTCATTTTCACTGTTTCTACTAATTTTACTCAATTAAATGAAAAATCCATACAATTGTGAATAGACACAACTGGTAACTAGCATCATTCTCAGAACACACTGAGATGTGATGCATATTATGAAGAAATTATATAGTACTCATTCAAAATTCATGTAATGGTTAGAAAAGAAAAAATTTTTTGGGAAAAAAAATATGGTACAACTTTATACTCAGCTAGAAGCATCACAGACACAATAAGTTTTTTTACAGAATTTGTTGAGAAACAAAGTCACATCAAAGTTCCACTTAAATATTCAAACACATTAAATCAAAGATGTCATTTCATGAAGGCTCAACAACTTCTAAAGATGCAATGACATTTATGGATAGGCTTAAGCCTATCAAAACTTAAGTTTGTGATAGACTCATAATGTTTATTACCAGCAAGTAAGTGTAACTTACAATGTTGTAACTCATCGTATTATTTGGATTGCATTTTTTAGACAAAGTCTTTCATTAAGGGCATTTTAAACTGTCATTGGCATTAAGAAATCTTAAGAGCTAACAGAGAGAGAAAGCTATGTCAAAGCACTTACCAAACTGATTAAGGACTGAGGACTGAGTAATGGGTGGTTTTAGATCCCAGGATGATGTGGTAGTTGTGGTAGTGGTGGTAGAGCTACTATTGTTTTGTTGAGAGGTAAACTGACCCAACCCTGGAGATTTCAACTGGTCCAAGATTTGGGATCCAGCAGAGTTTGCCAATTTAGAGGATCCCAGTTCTCCAAAGCCAGAACAGAGAACTGCAGACTACCAGAAGACAAAAAAGAAGAGGGGAAGGAGTGAACTATTTAATAAATAATTTGAACATAACCATAGGGTCAATGCTTACAGCTGCTATTTGGCATCAACTAAAACCTCTTCAATCCTAGATTACTAGCAAATGACCAATAAAAAAAAATTCAGCAGTTGCAGCATGTGGTCAGATCCTCTCTGATTACTACCAACACAAAACTTTCACCATTGATTGCAACAATACTAATTTACTTGCATCTGTACATCTCAAAATAGTAAGTATTTACTGATAGTTGAACTGATTCTCACAGAAGAAATGTAAGTGCTTAATTTCAAGCCCTTACAATTGACTTGGAAATAGGCAGGTTTCCACAAAGAAAAAAAACCAACAGTCAGATATGTGGTTGGAAATAACACATCATAGTTTTCTGGCACAGAACTCTTCACTACAAATTATTTCATCCCAAATCACAGCATGCAGTAAATGCATCTGCTATCTACTAAAAGTTTAACACAAGTACTTCATGTAAACCACAAAACAACTACTTAGCAAAACTACAATAAAAGAAATCTTTTTTTGTATGTGTGTAAACAGAAATGAAGAATTCCATTCCTTCAATATCTGGAACCTAAATTTTACAAATACTGAAACATTGCATGAAACGAGCAGTAACGGAAATGCTGTTTAACCTGAAATATATTTACTCATTAAGAATATTCAGAAAGCATAAGATAATTTTACCAAACTTTGAGGAGAGTAAGAGTTTACAGCACTGGAGCTGCCAGTTCCTGATGCCATCTGGGTGCTGTGCTGAGAATTTGTGAAGACTAGGGCTTGGCCAAAGGTTTGCTGCTGAGGAGCCTCAAATGAGTTGCCTTCTGTCTCTTGCGAAGAAGTCACAGGCTTTTGAAGCAATGTTACCAAATCAATGCTGCAAGAAAAAAGTAAAGTTTAGCTGGAATAAACAAGATGATCAGGCTGCCCTGAAATTGAAGAAAGCACTAACAATACTAAAGCTGCCGTACCAGCAACAGAATTGTTACTGATTTAACAGTCTTTTCCAATATTGCTTGTCTGCCATACAAACAGAGATAGAATAGAGGGTTTTTTTCCCAGAAAGTAATATTCTGCTAGCTGTAACCTTCCACTACAGTTAGAATATAAATTATCTTTGCACTCTTTTCAAACATTATCAAATGTATAACATCTTGTATCACATAAATAACCTTTATGATTAATATAGCCAAGTAACCGGAGACAAGTCATAAAAGATACATTATGTTTAAGTGGATCCACCTGCAAGACCACTGTATGTATTGATAATCCACATTCTCTGTATATCACACTATCCCTTTAAAAAGGGTAAGGGATCAAAGTCGTACCTCTGTATAGGGTGAACATAAAGACAGTAAAGTCACACATGTAGTGACTGAGTGAATGTGTGACATGGAAGTCACAAGAATAGTGGAAATAAAAACTAAGTTTCTCAGATAGTGGGCACATATCCAAAATTATCACACATACCTGAGCAGAATGAGAAACATGAACTTCCTGATATTAAGCATGGCTAACTAACCCTGACCACATGTTTAGCACAGGTTTATCTAAGGAAAAGCAAAGGATTCAGACAATAAAAGAAATTACTCCAAAAATTCTGACTTAAGTTTATCCTAAATATACTGCAGGCTTGGGCTGAAGAGCTGCTTCCAGCACTTCCATTAGCATAGATTTCTTAAGGTCTAAACCTTTCTTATGGCAAGTAAAAAACAAAAACCAAACCAAACAAAAAACCCACAAAACCAAAACCCACGAAAACCAAAGAAAAAGCAAGCCTCCCTCCCCGCAGGAGAAAAAACCCAAAACAACCAAACAAAAAACATACAACAAAAAAAGACAACAGAATTTGAGTTGATGAGCTAAAATATTTTCTAACATAATTTGAGGGACATCCACTGGAAGAATGTTTGCATTAGAACAATGAACATGTGAGCATATCACCTTTAAGAAGTAAAGGAATATAAACTGTAAGCCAGCTGACACCATGCCTCCTCCAGATCACATCCATGCTATAAGGAAAATTTTGTGGCAGTCTGGAGTACAGCAGTACAGCTGTATCAGGATGTTTGGGACCATTAGGCTGTCTAGTTTTCAGATCACATGCTATCCAATTACCAAACTTTAACCCACTCTCCTGGATCTTGAGGCTAATGCAGGCAACTGATTCCACAACATCATCAGCCAGACATTTGGTGAAGACAGGCAAAAGGAGGCAGCAACTGTCATATTTTGGTTCTCTATTTGAACTCTATATCATCAGTTAAGGCAAGTAATTGTGATGCTTACCAGGAAATTCGCATTCCTGCCAGTGCAAGCTTTTCTGTTAACACATTTGTCAAAGCACTATGTTCTGAACACTTTCTGCATCTACAGGGGTAGGCTTTCTATTTTCTGGACAGCAAAGTCAGAGCTTCCTTTTCAACAGCAGAAAACTTTTCTTCCCAGATACTTTTGTTACCGCTTGTAAGTAGTCTTTGTGCAGAAGACAGGGTCTTCTCAGTATTATGCTTGTGGATTTGTTAAGTTTGGCTCCACTTCTGTAGTCAATAATAGGTAACACAGGAATCCACAAAAACAACAATTTGCAAACAAGGCTTTTACAATTTTGAAATAAGCCTGACCAATCTCTGACCCAGGGCTGCCCTGGTTTTATTCAGCATTTTGTATGTGCAAGTAACATTGCTTCACCAAGCAGAAGGTTTTTAAGGTATAACAAAAATGTGGAAGAAGAGCTTACCTTTGTCCAGAAGTCACATGATTCTCAGCTGGAACAGAGGAAGCAGTGAAGACTTTTGTTTCAGAAAGCTGAAAGGGGGGGGGGGGGGGAAGGAGGTATTTTAATCGTACACCTACTCACACTTCAGTGCTACAACATCTGCAGAAATTACATCTTGGTCTTTCAAGATAAAAGTAAAGACAAACTACCATTACAACCAGTTATGCTGCAGCTATGCTTAAAAAGACAAAAACGCATAGTCAAACTTCAGCAAAGTCCTCTCCACAGAATCAAGTATCAATTTAATTAAGTGTTAGGAAATTTGATCTACTGAACACACACAATGGTATACTAATATAACTACATCAGTTTGAGCAGTAGTTTAACTGAAAAATATACCAGTAGAAAGTAATTAACATGACAACTGGTATATCATCAGTGTAAAGATACCTTGTGAAGACATAATTTAGGACTCCATGAGGAGCTCTGATAAATCTTGTTGCAGAAATCTAACACACTGCACTGTTCCCACTCATTTCACATATTCCTGTGTTTTATGTTTCAGCTCATATCACCAGCGGAGGCAGTTTGCACTCAGGTATGCACAATAAACTAGCATTAGTGGTTCCTTCTTGGCATTTCTGCTGGGGTTGGCAGTAACATCTTAAACCAACTGCTCTGCGAGTATGAGTTTGGAAACAATAATAGAGGGAGAATCATCTAATTGCTTATACTGGTATAACCAGTCAGATCATCCATAGCAGAAAACTGTACTGCTTTCACCATGCTGTTACAATAAAGATAGATACTTGCACAGGTAGCTGGGGAGGGGAAGCTGGTTGGTTGGGGTTTTGGGGGGAAAGGGAGTGATTTTGGGTTGGGGAGGGCAGGGTGGGTGTGTTTGCTGGGTTTTGTTTTTTTTTTTTAAATAGCTTTTCTTTTTTAAAAAGCAGCAGTTAAACAGCTACAACTTACTAGGACTAATCCTTTTCTTTGACAGGAATACTTGCAAACCAGAATATGTCTTAAGCCAGCACAGGTTAGATTTCATGAGATAAAGATATACGCATATAATGGTTGTGTTTTAAATCAAATTTGCACAAAATCACCGTTAACTGCTTTGGTGTAGCTTTGTAGTTAGACTAAAGAATAACTGACCTATTCAAACACTCACAAAGAATCCCTTTAGAATGTGACGTTTGAATACAGCTGTTCCAGGAAAATACGCATTTTTAATTGTATACATTGCTAACAGCCCAGTTTAAAGGACATCATGGACATGAGCCAATTTCATCTGCCATCCCGCAGGCAGCTCAACTGAAAGCACATACATCTCTGACTACAGTCATCTGATTGGGATTCTCCTATGAAACATTGTTGATATAAGTGGGACGCAGAAGGGCTGACTGGGAGCAATGAGTTACCACTCAGAGGCAAAGTTCAGATGTTTCATTTACTCTCCTAGCACCCACTTATGTGGGACACAGTGTGTCACGAAAAAATGAGTACCACTACAGTTCCTCCCTCCATTTCCCTCCCTTCCTACCAATACAACATATTTTAATCCCATCTTTCTGGAACACAATTCTGTCCTCTGCATAATGCTGCCAGCCCACAACTCTATGTACTGACCTAAATGAAGAAAGATGAATAAGCCAATTACAAAGGCTGTTTCACTATTGTTCAGCCCTTTCCCCACTGTACGTGTTATTTTAGAACAAAATGTACTGTAGTTTTTGTAGTGTTATGAGACTCCTCTATCATATGGCATAAGGAGGTCAGCTAATGGCACGAGCAGCAGCCTATGGTTTGCAATCCCTTGGTTAAATATTCTTTGCAATGTCAACAGTTTCTTATGCTGACATAACCAAGGATAAGGCCAGGATAACCCAGGATAACTGTGGCCAAAGCACTGATGAATCCTGAAAACTAAGCAAATTGAGGTGCCTGAGGATGTTTCTGACAATGCAAAAGCATTCTTGACATATGAGAGAGGAAATGTTCTTTTCAAGTGAATCAGCATGCAAAACAAAAGTATTCAGCTACCAGCTCAGCTACAGTGAGGTTTACACCACACCTTGAGGCAAACTCACTGCCACAAGATCCAATCAAGCACCTAGTTCAAAAGTCTGCTGGGATTATGACATTTGTCAAAACACACACCTCATGCAGCAGCAGCTGAAAAGTTTTATTACACAGATGTATTTGGTATTTCTTAGAAGTAGTATTACTGGCTCCTAATAAAGTTATTTATGGTCACTGTACACTACAAATCTTTCCCTGAGGCTTTGGCATTTTCCCAGAACTGAAAGAACGGCTGTGAACCCTTTGCAAGCAGCCTCTCAAGGGTATTTCCTCCATCTGCAGTGAAATGCCTGTGCTTTTCAGCTCCTGTTCCTATGATAAAAACCATTCTCTGATCACCGAACAGACAATATACTTAACAACTAGCTACCAGCTCCTATGGCCAGTTGATAGGTGTGGAGAACAGGAAAATATACTTCAGCATCTTCATAAAAAACTCAACATCAATAAATCAGAAATAACAAAATCATATTACTGTTTTGATATACTGTACTGAAGTTAAAGAAAATAAAAGAAGTTCTCATGCTGCTTCCTGGTAAAGGAAACATTCCCACTAAAATACTTTTTTTTTCTCTTTTAAGTGTTGCTATTGTTTCAAATATAAACTACAAGTACCAATATTGCACAGAAAATGTTTGCCTTCATTCACTTTAGAGCAATTTGTATGTATTTTCTTTCTCCCCTTCTGGTAGTTTCTGTAGTTAAACTTTATTTTCTTTAGTCAGGAGACTAAAGAAAATTTTAACAGGAAAACCCAAAGCCATCTATGGTACCTTAACATTCGTCTGGTCATTCATGTTCATGCTCTGAATATGCCTTTAACAAAATACAACCTCCTGTTTTCACTGCAAGTAGTTTCCACTCTATTTAAGAGCGTGCTGACAGCCTGCTATACTTGCTCAATAGTTACTACTAAAGATAAATACCAGACAGGACTATTAGATCACAAAAATCTAATCCTCCTCAGGTCAAACCACGTTAAATTTCACTCACCTGCTGCTAACTTGTATCTAGGTAGAGAACACCACATTCAAACAAAAATATTCTTCACAAAATCACCTTCTCTTTATCTGCAGACAGCAAATGCATCAGCTCCCTGGGTTGTTATTCATTAGTCATGTTGCTAGAATTGTTTATTATACATTTAAATGTTCAGCTCCATTTTCCAGCCACAGGTTTATATTATGCCTTCGTCTGCTAGACTAAAACCAGAGCACATTATATGCTAATAATATGCTTTTCAGATTCAGTAAAATAAAAATCTTATTCTCAAGGACCTCTTCTATCAGCAAATAATCTTCAGCTATTTCCCACAATTTTTGTAAAAGCAATGAATAATTGGATGCGGTACTTTAGATTCAAGTTCAGGAGAGTCTGCGTACAGAAGGATAAATCAAGAATGATTAAGAGACAGGGAAGAGTGTCTAAAGGCAAAAAGACTTATTTTTGCAACTGCATCAGCCCTTTAGGAAATCATGCTGAGCTGCTCGTCTATCACCCACTCTGATCCTGACAGTTTTTCAGTTGCTGCTTTCCAGAAAACAGCCCCTTGTTCTGGAGGTGTGCCTTTACTCCTATAAAACAAATGGGCACTTGGCTATATTAGAGCATTTTTCATTTGAACAAGTTAAGTCTAGCAGAGGTCCAGATTTCTCTGAATGAGTGGCTTACTTTTAATTGTCATTCCAATAATTTTTGGATTTCCCACACGTTTCATTCAGCAATGATTTTATTTTTACTTCTAAATCACTGATAAAGATGCTAGATGGCATCTGGCCTGGGACTGGATTCCTTTATAGCCCTCCTAGAAATGCCCACATTAAGTTAGGGTCTTCCTGTAAAAGATTTATTTGCCAAAATTTGCAAGGCAGATTTTAATCCACTTAATGTGTTTTGTGATAGCATGTAATTGTTTTTAGAACAAAAGATGCAGATCAAATCTCTTATAAGGATATACTCCACCTTCACAGTGAACTCATCATTTACTTAAAGGCCAAGGTCAGGTTCATTTGAGGTGGATCTATCTTCCATAAAACTACACTGAATGCCACAAGCTGTATTCTTGCACTTCTATGGGTTTTGGGGGTTGGTCGGGTT